CCAGTGGCACTCAGATCCTTCTTGCTTCCCTTCATTTCAGTGAAGGGGAATTAGAACCTAATTCCCCTTCACTGGTTGGGTCCGTTGACAGTCCTCCTCAGACCCCTCGAGAAGCTGGTTCTGCGGATGGGCAGACTTGGCCTGGTGAGTTTACAAGATAAACTTTTAGGGGCTTGGACTGTCTCATTATTTTTGCATGGGCCATTGAAGTGCTACTGTCATGCAAATAATAGAGAGATGAATAGTACACTACATCCTCTGAAATGGCCGTTATTCTTCAATCAGACATCTGCATTTATCGTTCCATAGTAGGCTCAACTTTTCATTTCTTCTATTCTGTTTTGACGGGTGAAAAAAAGTGTGAGAAATGACCTCTCTGAGGATAATTGGTATTCTGTCATTAAATTGGTTATTGTGTTCTCAGAGGCAAATATTTGTGTTTTTTAGACCACAAAGCTCTCTGAAATATTGAATTACTACTCTTGCATTCATATGGCTTGCCCTGTATAACAGGATTGGAGTGCTAATGTTGACATGTGTTTTAAAAAATCTGGACATCTGTCAACAACATTAATCCATTTTGAAAGAAAATGACTTACGAGCTCAGCACTCTTTTAGGGAATAAGACAATAATGGGCCCTGGTTTTTTGCCATCATTTGTTTATAATCTTGAGAACAGGGCTTGGGTTCAAATGACTTGACATGAGTGGAACATAGTATATCCCCATGTTTTATGACTGGAAACCCAGCATTTTCACAAGGCTGTTTTGCTGCAGACTTTACTGGCAACATATATACATCTCTCTTTTTTAGTTCCTCTTGTTTTTCTATCTTCCTGACACCTGTCACAGTTGTAGTCTCACAGGAGTCTGGGCGAAGAGTGCAGATTTCCTCATCCATGCGGTAACTGTGGGTCTGAGATCACTGTGACAGTGACTCCTGACTACAGACTTTTATACTTATGACTTCTGTCCTATTTGCATGCTTCTTTGTTTCCTTATTATAAAATTAGGGGTATAGCAATAATTTGAGAGCTGGAGAGACTGTATGAAGATTTGCAAGTCTGCATCCCAGCCAGTGACAACAGACTTTGGCCATCCACTGACATTCTTCTCCTACTGTCCCTAAACCTGGTAAAGAAAACTAGAGTGTCTGTCAAATAAGATTTGGGTGCAGGTTTTAAGGGTAATTAGGTGTATAATTCAAAATCTAGCCCTTGATTCCCTGGCAGATGGAACTTCCCCATCCATGACACAGCCAAGTCTCCATTTAGTATGTGGCTGGAACCAGTGAAGCTGAAGTGTATGAGATCTGGGGGATTTGTACCCCAGGGTGGTACAAAGCTTCACTGAAACCTGCAAGGCACAACAGTCTGCCCAAGCTGATACATAACTGGATGTCTGTGGAGGAATTTGGTTCCCGGCCCGTGGAAGGGTGGACGTTAATGAGAGCAGAAAACCGATAGAGCTCTTGTTTTGCTTTGTAATGTGTTTATCCATCAAGCAATATATATATAGAGAGAGAAACAATTGTGAAGTTTGTGTTTTGAAGAATCGTTCTTTGGCAATACATCAGAGGTTTATCTTATAACTGTGTCTAAAACATGGAAATGGATGACTGACTGTCAACCACCAAAATAGTTTGGGCTGTTTTATCTGTGGATAACATGCTCTTTTGCAACTTCCTCATTTTAGATGTTTATTACACCAAGCCTTTAGCAGCATGGCTTCAGATAATTGAAGTATTCCTATAAAGATATCTATTAAAGTTTAACTTTGGGAGACTCGGTGTAGCATGTGGCTTTTCAGTGTCTAGTGCATTAAGATATCAGAGTTAGATCTACTGTACCTGAACATCAACCCTGAGGAGTGTGTGTTTGCACCCATCCATAGTATCCCATGTACTTGTGGAAATGGGGTTCCATATGCACAGAAATGTGGTGTGCAAATCCCGTACGATAGATTTCTGAATGCAGCTTGAGTGTATACAGCTGTGCATCTCGTGCATGCTTTTAAAATACTGAGACATATTTGTTTGTTTTACTTGGATTTATTTATTTGATTTATTTCTTGATTTTTTTTTTTTCTTCCTGACAGGGGCCTCTCTTAAAATGCTATTTCCCTTGAAATTTAATACAACCATATAGCATTAGAACGTGAAAGCTTCCTGTGGAAGCACTGGGCTAGAATTAGATTTCTACAGTCCTCTACATTTTTTAATTCTTATTTGGACTGATTCTTTACTCTTGCTGAACTCCTGCTGAGTATCCCTGGTTGTACATAGTTGTGTCATTTGATGCGGGCTTCAATCCGAATCAAAACAGGCAGGGCACAATCAGTTACACATGTTGCCCTTCCAAGCTGAGTTGTTGCTTCTCAGCCAGCAAAAACATGAAGCCTGCCTGGTTTGTCCATGGAAAAAAGTGCAGTGCCCTTACTGCACTTACAGCCTGCAGCTGTGCCCCACGAAAAAAAAAAGAAGCCATTAGCACATTTTATCCCACTTAGCTCAGAATGACTGGAAGCAGGACATGGGATGTGTGTGTCTGTAGGATCCTGGGACAAAAGGCTTTATCCTGGGCATAGGCAACATCTATTTACAGCCCCTGTGACTCCTTATATAACTGCATTGTACCAAAAGGTTTTAAATAAAGCTCAGGTAAGATCAAGAGGGTGTGATGTGAGCCAGGGAGGTTTAGTTTAGATATTAGGAAAAACTTTCTCAAGGGGAGGATAGTAAAGCAGGTTACCCAGAGAGTGGTGGAGTCTCCATCCTTGGGGGTTTTTAAAACCCAGGTAGACAAAGCCTTAGGCTAGGATGATGTAGTTGGGGCTGGTCCTGCTTTGAGCAGGGGGTTGGACTAGATGTGACCTCCTGAGGTCCCTTCCAACTCTCATTTTCTGTGACTCTGCAATAAGGCCCTGGTTTTGAAAGGGCCTCGTTTGTTAGGAGAGGAGTTACTGGTGTTACCAGGCCAAACGTTAATACAAATTACAAATTAAAGGAGTGTTACAGTGATATGCAAAATTCAATTAATTTTAAAGGAGAAATATCACACATTTTTGTGGAGTAGAGGCCTCACAGAGCGTGGGAAACTGTATCTAATTAAAACCCCATTGCCATGAATGAAAGACTTTTACTGACTACAGTGATCCCCAGACCAGGTCCTATCTCACCTACCCATCTATGAAGTGTTAGTTAACCAAGTGCCTGCTCTTACTAAGCTTTAACAGTAAAGAGGATATTACACTGCACAAATTGGCAGTGAAAATTGCTATGCAAAATGTGGCTAATAATGTCACGTTGTTTGAGAACAAATGTGGTGGATCCTGTTGCTGAACAGGAGGAATGCACTAGGCAGATAGGCTTTGTTTTCTTTCATTCTGATTTTCTTTAGAGAAAATAATTGAAAAATAATAGAAGTGTGTTATTAATGTCATAATCTGTGCATGATTGATTCCCTTTATTTGTTACATTTTCGCATGCATTCAATAAATAAGACTTATTTAATAAATTTAATGTATTGCAAAATGGTACAAGCAGGAACATGATCCTCCCCTCCCATTGAACCTATCCATTGCTTTCTGGGGTCAGGCCCTTGGTGGCAGCCTATAAGTACATCTGGGGTATGCATCAGGATCTAGGGGAACACCTGTTCATCAGAGCACCCCCAGGGACGACAAGGTCCAACGGTCACAAACTCCTGCAAGACCATTTTAGGCTGAACATAAGTAAAAACTTCTTTACTGTCCGAGCCCCCAAGGCCTGGAACAGACTGCCGCCAGAGGTGGTGCAAGCACCTACTCTGGACACTTTCAAGAATCAGTTGGATGCTTATATTGCTGGGATCTTTTGACCCTAGTTGACTTCCTGCCCCTTGGGCAGGAAGCTGGACCCGATGATCTTATGAGGTCCTTTCCAGCGCAAATGTCTATGAAACCTATAAAGTCTATGAAATCTTAAATGAGGTTTCTTTTCTGTCTGATTTGGTTTATTGTAGAACAAGGGATGTGGTTCCGACATGTAATTTCAGAGGCCACGTCATTTAGAGCAGTGAATGGGAGGTCTGAAAACAGGAAGTCTCGACCCCCTAAGCTCTGGTTTGCTACTGATTTATCATGCAGCACTACTGGACAGCCACTTTAGTAGAAGTTTGGCTCCTCAGTCTTCAGAAATTTACCCTCAAGTCCAGTGTTGAGGAGTCGCCTATGCCTTCAAGCTTCAGCTCGAGGAGAGGGAGAATAACACCTACCTGTTTCCAGTGTGCGCAGGGAAGATTGATTAATATTCATGCAGTAGAGTTATGATAAAAGGATGCGTTGGGAAGTTTGTTTAAAGGACTGTGCCAACTCTCCCTCTCCGTGTTCCTTCCACTATGCAGCTTCAGAAAGGGAATCGTACCTCCTCAGTTTTTTTCTGTGGCCATGTTTTTCATAGGAAATGTTGTAGCATTTTGACAAAAACAAAACAGAAAAAAACCTCAACTGGTTTTCTTTTTCAAATGGAGGACATTTTCGTTTAATGGGGCTTGAAGTGTTTACAGGTGTTTCCTCATGGGTTCATATTTAGTGACCCCAGGGACCTGAAGATTCTCGTAAGGCAGGAGAAAACACTGAGCTCATACTTGTGTTTTAAAAGTGTTGAACATGAAAGGGCCAAATTGTCACCAGGGGTAAAGTGGTGCAGCTCTGAGGCCAGTAGTCATGTCGATTTACACTAGCTGAGGTCTAGCCTCAATTAGGCACATCTTAAACCCAAGAGAAGATCCAAATCTTGTTCAAAGGTTTTCCTGCTGTAGAACCCCACAGGCCTTGTTTTGCACACCTCGCTCAGAGAAAACTCCCATCGGCCGCTGGTTCCGGGTCTTCATGTTTGTTTAAAAAATGTTTAGGTGATCCATGGTGTCTCTTATGCATAATATCTTCCAGAACCCCCTGGCCTTGGAGGAACTGTATAATGTGGTGAAGAATAACACAGAGTAAAGGAAAATATAAAAGTTCTTGTGGTTGGAGGATGTGATGACATCACACACACAGCGGGAACTCAGGGCTTTTAAAAAGCTGAAAGAAACATCCTGACAGGCAGTTATCACATCCCTTGTACAGGAGTAAAACACATTTAGCAATTAAAAAGCCAACCCATCTTCTGCAAAGAGAAAAGACTCCGTCCTGCCACAGAATATGCACTGGCAAAAATGTAAGTGAGTTCTGATTGCCTTTGTTTTTCGTAACTACAATGAAAGATAATGATCATATGAATACCGTTGCTAAGTCAGCATCAGACTAGCACAGGAGCTCAGACCATAGTCACTTATTGAGACATGTACAGCTTAAGAAAGACAAATATTAAGATGTGATGCTAATTTTCCAGCTTGGATAGTAACACAGGACAGCATCACTGCTTTGTTGGTATTAATCATTCTGAATCAAATGGAAGACTATGATTCATAAAAACAGTAACAGGATACAAGGTATTCTATCAAAGATCATAGTGGTTATTTACCACAGAATTTTCCTTTTAAAAGTGAAACCTGTGATAAATCTTATTTTTGTATCTGGTTTTATGTAAACACTACTTTTTACCATGAATTATATTACCCAGTCAGGGGACTATCAATTTATTTCAATATCTCAACTTGCAAATTATACTCGTATGTTTAAGGTTAGATCCTCAATAGGAAAACGGAAGGATGCCAATAGGACTAGGCTGATTGCCACAAGCTGAAGAGCTGGTCTATAATTATTACCTTTTATTAAAAATAGACTGTATTGCCAGCCACTCTGTTTATCATCTTACATACTGCAAGTCTTGAAAGAGAGAGTAACCTATTGAAAAAGGTAAGGAATAAACCGGAGTCGAAGCAGTACAGTTATGAGTTAACAGGAAGTAAACATATTGTCATTATAAAAATTGTATCAATGGCTTTGTTTAAAAAAATAATGTCATGCCATTTGGCGGCACTTTTCTCAGAAAATTTAGTGATCGCTCTCATACAGGTAGAATTTGCTCCTTTTCTTTTCCTTTTATTCTGACCACGCACATTTCTATAGGTGGTATTTGTTTTTGTAACTATGAGGATATTCTCTACCTCTCAGTACTCTATGCTATTCATTTAACTGGTAGTAAAGCATACCTGAGTGGAAAGGACTAATTTCTTAAATATTTTCCAGTGATTTGACTAATGTGGAATAAAAATGAAGCTTCTTTTCCATTCTGTTATAGACCAAAGATTATACAAAAACCAGTTTTATGTACACCTATTATTTTGAGGTAATCAACAATTATGCATGTTTTCTTTGGATCACAAATGTAAATATTTGTCCTTTGTCTTTGAATTTTTTTGGAGGGAAGTGGGGGCAGGGGGGCTCATTTTTATAATTATGCTATGGGCTGCAAAATCAAGTAGCAAGGAGCTATTAGACAGCACATTGGAGCTCTTCAGCGATCTATTTCTTCTCAGCTTTCCCAATCTTAATAATCATTGGTGCATTTGGTGTGGAATTGGGGTTTTAAAAATGTATTGCAAAAGATTAGCTTCTGTGCATCTTAGATTTTAGGTACAAGAAGGGCTTGTATTCAAGGTTTGATGGCTTTGGTAGTCAGAATGACCAGCCATATCGAATGCTACTGTATGTGATTTAGATGCGTACATAACTTTTTCAAAGGTGAACAGGAATTGCAGGCCTAGGTCAGGGGAGATGACTGCAATACAAAGGGTGGGTGCTTCCTACTGACAGTCTGCAGACAATGCAGCCTCTGCGGAATACCTTCCCCTAGTTCCATCCCCAGAGCGCCTCGTTACTTTTCAAACCTGGACTCAATTATTATAGCAATACTTCCTGGATATTTTGAGAAGTAGCAAGTACCTTGATAGGTTTCCTTAACTAGGGAAAACTTTTCACACCAAGCAATAAAGTGGCCAATGGACATGCTATAATTCTGTCCAGTCCAGATAAGTGTTGTGGGTGACTAGCTGAGTTCTGGTTTGCATTGATAATTTTTGTTACTGATATTTTATTGTACGCCTAAGTGCATATTAGGGTACAGAAACCTATGGTTGACCCTTTTTTATTTAAATCTAAAGTAATAGTTACTTTCTAGAAGTGAAGATCCTGGATTTTTAATAAGCTCACCACCTCCTGTTTCAGTGTAATATGGAGTTAACTGCTTTAGTTTTCTCTGGAGCGAGGAAGAAGCCTCAAGTGGTTAGGAAACTAGGCTAGGGTTCAGGTAATCTGAGACCCATTCCTTGCTGTACCACAGTCTTGCAGTGCTCCCATGGATAAGTCACTTAATCTCTCTGGGCCTTGTTTCCTCTCTGAGAAATGGGGACAATACTTCCCTGCCTGACAGAGGTGCTTAAATACAAGAAGGAGACAGTGAGTTGTTCAGATGTAACAGTAAAACAGGCTGTAAGTGGATAGATAATAATCAATTTGATGGAGCTGTTTGTCTCTTCCATGTGATTTTGAAGAGCAGGTGATGCCTTACCCTAAATGCGAACTTGGAATGTCACAGGGATCGCTCTTTCTTTCCGCATGCACAGTGCTGCACTGCCATTTATCTAAACGATTAACTTGTCCAAGCTAATAACTCAGGACTCATTCTTATAGACAGGTGTTGTGTTTGGCAGTCTCCATTCTTCAGATAAATTGCCTTCTTTTGAGTTACTCTTATGTTCTGTGATCGTGAAATGTATGTATTGCAGAATCACAGAAAAGGAACAAGGGGAAATATATGTCCCTGGAAAACTAGCTTTAATCCCAGCCATTATTTCCTAAGGAGTTAATCGTCTACTAATGTGGCTACTAAGCAGGATTGAACCTAAGGGAGATAGGAACCCAAATGCCAATGGAAGTCAACAGGATTCTGGCACTTGCCTGTGTAGGATTCCTTTGCCAGTAGTCTCTTAAGGAAAGTCTGTTCAAACCCAAATGCCAAATGCAACTTCAGGTACTTGCCTGCCTCAGTGATGAGGATGGAATAAGGACCTGAATAGAATAAATGTAGCTACAGTGACGGAGAGCTAGATAGCAAAGCAATACGCAAAGGCCACGCTTGAATTAAAATTGTCTGGGTGGATTTGCAAGTCCTGTCAAGGCCATGGTGCTGAAATGTCAGAGCACTAGGTCAGAGCCAGCAATGTTTGCTCAGTCCCTGTAGCTGGGGGGAAGATGCCAAGAATGGAATTTGAGAGCTCACCTTGGGTTTTACAGGGGAGCTGGAAAGACGCAGTCTAAAAGGAAAAGAACTTGAGAACAGTAAGAAGTACAACAGGAACGGTACCAGCCCCTCTTGTTTCCCAGTTCTAAGAAGGGATTGAGGGCCACAAGAATGACGCAAGATTTAAGTACATGTGAGCTGACTTGAAGGGAATTGTCTCATGGTTGCTGTTTATTATTATTGCCACAGCAGAGGTTTCAGCCAGGCCAGGAGTCCTTTGTGCTAAGCGCTATATAGATGCACTGCAGAAAACTCATCCTTGCCCTAACCAGCTCGCAGCCTAAGACCTGAGCCTCCAAGGACTTCTGCACAAACTGTGCTTTCTTCACGGGTAGCGGTGCCCTTGAAGTCCTTGCACAGACAGTGTACGCGCCTCTGCAACCATGGGGCCCAGTGCTTCACTTTTGCAGTCTAAGTGCAGTGTAGCATGAAAGAATCCCCACCCACGGCAGAATACAGTTGACTGTTAGGAGTTTCCCATGTTTTTGCAGGAATTGGGTTTGATTCCATTGACCAGAATCCTTGTTATAGCTCTAACTTGATCAGAATTAACAGCCACAGAGTGGGGAAAATGCAGCTCCCTCTTTTTCGGTGATTTTTGGGGGGGAATAGCTTTAATGTCTCATTCGATTTACAGGCGAGTTTTTTCCAAAGTTTTGGTGATAAAGTTTTAAAAAGCACTGAAGTGATGTGGGAACCAATGCAGTCCATCAATCTCAGGCTCCTAAATCACTTAGACATGCAAAATAGAATCTCTAAAAGCCTCTACATTCAGTGGAATTTCAATGGGAGCTGCAGGCTTAATTTCTCTAGGCACCTTTGAAATGATTTTAAAATCACATGAAGGTTTTACTGCACACAACAACAGATTTGAGGGTTTAGACACCCTTCGAAAGTATCAGATAAGACTGAAAGCTGAAACTGCAATGTGTTGCATCTTGTGAGTCTCAGGTTTGGTAAAAACACTCTGGGAAATACGGATAGGGCAAGAATCAAGCACATGGGTGTTGCAAAACCCAGGTGTCAGGCTCCGTGAATGACCACATTAGCGATTAAGTGAAAAGCTTGTTCTACTAAAATGGAAACGCTACTGTGGGCTATCAATGGGTATTAGGAGGTGGGGGGTGAGACCCAGAGGTCAGTCGCTTTTCATCAGCAGATCTCAGTTTCCTCTATAATGTGGGTTCTGCGTTTCTGAAAGCTGGACATTTTTTACTGACTCCTGTTGGCTTCAGTGGCCCCTGCATCAGACCCTGAATGTCTGCAGGTGTTCTCTAGCTGCTCTCTGCTGCAGTGAAAGCAGCAGATGTCTTTGGCACACACTCCACATGGGTCCCTATGTCTCATCAGAGAGTCCTGTAAGTGTAGTGTCCATCAGTATAAAAGCAAAGCTAAGATCCCTTTTGTGGCTCTGCATCAACTCCTTGTAATCACTGGAATGGGTGCCCAGGCCTTTCACTTTGTTTTCCATCAGACAGACTGGACAAAAGCTTTCTCACAGGACCAGAGGTGAACAGCCTGTAAAAAGCAGGATTCTCACAAATCTGAGTAGTTAGTGGGCTCAAACGGTGAAGCAGAAGACAGGACTGATCGGAAGCTGCATAAGCTAAGGCAAAGTTTATTCCTAGCTGCTCCTTACAATGCCACTAATCACGTCATTCAAAACCAGTGTAAGCATGAACACAATAAAGATATTGGGCATAATTATTTTATCACTTGTGCTACTTTACCTTTGGGTAACTCCACTGACTTTAGTGGTTGCTGCTCATTCATTCCAGTGGACAAGAGATTGGAATTAGCCCCAATCAAACATGATCAATAAATGCACTGTTGCATTTGAGGTAGGTCCAATGTTTGGTTTATTGATTTGCAGTGTTAATTAGGCTCAACAGTCCCCAGCATTCATTTCCTCATGTTTTGCAATGAACCAGCACTTTGGTACCTTAGCTTTTGCTCAAAGTGAATTTTTTTTT